CTGCAGATTGATATAACTTGGGTTTGACCAGCTGAGAATAAATGATAGTTCATGTAGTCCTGGGCGCCTAGAATTAGATATTTCACAGGTCGTTATAATTGGTAGCTATAAAGCAGATAGACCTCTCATTTTGCTGGAAAAGAACAGTTGATCAGTTACTCATGTGTAGTTGGACATGTGCGTATACAACGCCGTACCTTGCAAGGTGAACCCTATAGGTTTCGTAAAGAAGTATATATATCGTACTTCTCGAGAGAACGTCTTCATGCATGCAATGGACCGACTCCATGAATAACGCAAGCCTTTACCGGCACGGCGGGCTAAAGTTTGTAATGTACTTTGACTCAAATTCTCCAGATGAATCATATTTGGACCTATGCAGTTGTTTTTTTGCTCGCAACCAGGAGGTCAATACCTGTCCTACGCCTTTTCATTCACTTCTGTTATTAGAAAGATTAAGTACAATACTGCTGCGGTGCCTGTATAATCCAGCCACGGAAGCTAGTATTTTGCAGCTCAAAAACGGGCAGTTCCTCCCAGGTGTCCTTGTTGACAAAGAGTTGCCTTGGATCCCTGGGGCTTAGTTTGTCCCAACCGTGGTACACCAGAAAGAGTGTTTTGCCTAAAGCAAAAACTGGTAATGGAGACTTGCTGAGTCCCTTGTTTGTCAGCTCATTGCACGTCTGGCAATTTATTTTGTATAATGTCCCCTTTCGCTTCTAGCCAACCAAAATGCATGCTGGTCGGAGCTTCAGGTTGGCTGCACTTGTGTCTGTAGGTACTGCAGTAATATAAAAGAACTCAAAGTACTCAGGGCTCTGCTGCCAAACTCAGAGTCGTGGTTGATGTTAAACTACCCTTTCACGTAGAGCTGCTTTTCCCGGTTTACTACCGAATTACTTATTCCTGTTTACGAGGGCAACCCGAAAGTACTAGCGTGCTCCCGTCCCCCAGGTGGTCATGGTGCACTTTCTTATGTTACTTCCGGGATACTTCGGCGGACTGCAAGCAGTCCCTATCCCTGCTCATGGCTGTCCAGTTACTGTTGGAATGTTTAGAGAAGTGACACAATGGCGCCTCCAGTTGTGTGATGCTGTAGTGTGGGTTCTGGATCGCTTCTGAGCAGGCTAGCACAAGCAATCCTCTTTCACTACGCAATGCATCTCCTCAATCTAGCCCAAAACTCAAGACCGCAGTAACGCGTGGCGTGTTTTATTGAGAACAGTTTAAGGGGGTAAAAATGAACCAACTGGCAAGCATTCACTCTTCCGTTTGTTATGTAACGAAGACTCTCCCCGCTTTGGGGCTTCACTTGAGTTCCCCTTTCTAATGTACAAGGTCATGGAAAGGCTTCGGTTTATGTGCAAAGCCACAATAAAGTGAAATCTTATAAACTTCTAACCCCAAGGATGAGCATTGATGAAAATCAAAAAAGTGAGCAGTGCCTCAGTTATCGCCAGAGCAGGGGACTCTCCATCTTAAACACTAAGACTGATGAAAACCTATTGGCACGTTGGCATGAACGGAACTCCAGTGGCCCAGACACCTGAATAAGCCATATAAGAAAGTTTCAAATATTTGAGCTAACAAGGACAAATGCTTATGAAACCCAGGAAACGCGCCCTTAAACACCTGCTTTAAGTGCTAGTTCGAATGCACACATGATCCATGAATGGACGTACGCTGTCATAGACTCCACGCAGATCTAGGCTTCACTGCGTTTCCATCGAGTCTTTGGCAAGGAACTTTGGGGATTGTGTCAGTCAATGCGGCAGAACCGAAAGTCAAGAGCATTCCTACCTACCTTAACTCACCCGCAGCTGGTGAACTGACTGGATATGCTGCATACAGGTAGCGAGCGGCTACCAAACCGCGAATGGTGCTCCACTCTTCATGATGTACGTCTGCTGCCCAGCGGCAGCAATTTCGAAGCCTGAGAGCCCAAGCCGCACTCCCTATACCTCCAACTAGAAAGCCTAAATTTTTGCTGTGTACTCATCTGTTTGGCTTACGCCCACCCAGCCACCTTCTCATGACACCTGCCCCATAGCATTCAAATAGAATCCCCGGTATCGCTAAAACCTACCTACTGTTGACATCAAAACGCAGGATGTCGGCTCACTGGGTTGGTTTGCTTCGTGTACTAGCAGATTAAGGTCGGAGGGGCTAAAAAACCAGGATTCCAGTAGACGCACCCTGTTAGACAAAGAGCTCTGAAGTGGAAGACGCGTGGAAAGGTTGCTCACTCTAGAACATAACCAAATGTTTTCGAGAAAAGTTTGCTCGAAACTCGGACTCTTAAGCCACCCCCATGCGAGCAGGGGGGCTTGTGGCCAACTTGGATACAGCTTCAATCCGATCGAAGCCTTCTGCTACCTGTATTCTGTCCAATTCATATGCATGAATATCAACTCCTAGGTTCGTCAATAATAGCCCCAACTACATGCTCGTAAATCTAAATGCACGCTGCGCTCTAGAGCTATGACATGGTGCCTTTGCATGTGTACTTAGCTTCGCTTGTACTAAAGATGCCTCTAGCACATCATTGTTGGTGGAGGAGAGCCTGCACGCTATATTTGTTGACAGTGAACACATGGTCTTTGGCATAACTGACGTCTAGTGCGAGACTAAGAGCTCAGTGCACGCTTGAAGTTGTAGACATTGTTACTTACTTAGTGCACTCAAATAAGAAAAGACAGCTCCTTTCGAAAGACGAGGTAGTGCCAGCGGCAGACAGATACAAGCCCTGGAGAGGGCACTTCCGCCCGAAAGCGGGTACACATTACCAGAATATTGGGAAGATTCGCGCTATTGAGAGACAAACAAAGAAGACAGATGGTCATACACATGGAAAAGCTCACTTCACCAGAATACACAAAGGAAGACTTAGCTCCAGTGAACAGGGGAAACAGGAAGCAGCCAACCAACAAGAAAAGCGGTGGGCTGTTCAATTGCTGCCTTTAGGACAGTGCAAGTAAAAAATATCCAGGGGCTTGCCGCAAAACGGATTGCGCACTTTAACAAGGGAGCGGTAATCATGAAGGTTTTGAGATACACACTAGAAGCGACAAACAAGCTAAAGGGAAACAGTATCATTAAAAAAGTAGCACGGAGGAACAGCCTACCAGGGTCCAAAAAGAGAGGTTTTCTCGCCTCCATAGTGCGGCCCCTTACATAGTTTCTGTCAACGTCACGAAAAAACAATCTATCCGTATGTTTCCTCAGTGGACGTCAGTCTGAGGGCCGTTTGCCTGATGTCAAGAGTTCTATGATCTCTACTGGGGACTGTCCACCCTGCAAGGCTCCTGACCTGTCTCCTGTTTAATCTGAGATGAAACAAACTCTGTATGGTTAGGCTGCTTTGAAAAAAAATCCAGGAAGTTTTTCAAAGCCTAAGCCCCCCTAAAAGCCGAGCCCTGGACACTCTAAATAATCATTAAAAATGCAGGTGCCCCTGTGCGCATAGGGCTCAGATATAGGCCCTCTTGCGGGCTCTTGGAAAATCCCAGGAAGGATATCGGTTGGCTCAAGGGGCCGTAGGCTTAAACTCGGCACGTTTCCTATCTCCGCCTTGACAGGTATAAAAGCCTCCGGAGTTTCCCTCCCAACAAAATTCTTGATGCTTTAGCACGAGATAAACATTTAAGTCACAGAGATAGTGACGCCCAGCCAGAACACGGAGGATCAATGAAAGCTTACTGCCCGGAGTCATAGAGAGACCGGGGGAACACAGCAGTCATTGCCCAGCCAGCTTACGACGCAGCTGCAGCACTACTGAGGCCATTGGCATAGAGATCTAGTAGCTAGTAGCCCTGGGGTTATGGCGTTACTTCTTTCAGGTGCCAGCCCTGCTGAAGGTGCTCCCCGCTTTTAGCGAATGGCTGTCTCTTGTTATTGAAGATATTTCAGCTGTAGCGCGCAGCCCTGCTGCTTTGGTGCTTTTTAAATATCTAGTCCCAATCGCCCTCTTCTTCGGAATCTGACTCGGTGCTCTCGTCCCCTCGAACTGCTGTACGCCGTGTAGCCAATCGGGAGCCCACGGCAGTCAAAATGCTTTGTGAGCTCTGGTCACCTGAATCGCAGCAAGGGTGGAAGACAACACGGGAGGGAAAATGCAGATAGGTAGCATGATAACTAGATTACAAAGAACGAAAGCATCCCAACGTGAGAATGCGGTTGAGGGCCGAAGGCAGGGAGAAGGCGGAATCGGTAGGGACACTTGAACCAGGAGAACTACACTATATGAGAGCATGGACAGCATGCAGACACAGTGCATTTAGCACGCGTTTATGTAGGATAAATTTAAGCTTCAGACCTGACCCTGCAATAGTTGCTGGTCCAGGCGTTTTACTCTGAGAGAATTAGGGAAAGGATTGCAGCAAGATATATCAGATGAATCACAGGGTGGAGGGGTTAGATAGACAGAAGGAAACTCAGGAGGCCCATCAGGTTAAAAGGCAGAAATAGATTGCAGGTTTAAACTCTACAGAAAGATATGCACGCGGTTTTGGGGGAAGTGCCCAGTCTGTATCACGTGGCTGCTATGCGGGCTTACCTTGTGGTGCAGTGGGAGGCTCGGTTGTGGGTACACCTTTCAATTTGCCCTTTGCATCTGCAAGTGATTCTGCAGTAATTTTAGCAGAAGGCATGGCACCGGACTTAGTAGCGCCTTTGGCAGAAGCGCCTGTACTGGAGGTAGTAGAGGGGCTCCCTATGGGCAAGGGAGGTGGAGGCGGGGGCGAAGGCGGCATTCCCACTCCACCACCAGGGCCGGATAGTGGAGGTGGTGGGGGCGGAGCTGAGGAGGTTGGTGATGAGTCCGGACTGTAGCCAGAAGACTGCTGTGGTGACGGGGTTCCTGAAGGCGCTGAGACCCACGCAACATTAGGAGAGATTGCTTCCTGGATGAAAGTGGAGCGCGATAGAAAAAGAGTGGAGGAAGCGATTCACATGAAAAAAACAGCTTTGGGGTTTTGAACAATATTTCAGGGTGAATTTTCTTAGCGTGACGAGGGCAACGCAGGGGCAAGCAAAAGGAGGAGGTCGGGTACTAGGCCCTTTTGGATACCTGATGGAGATCCGGGGCGTTGTGGTGATGGAGCTTGTGAAGCATCTCCTTGTGAAGTGCCCTCCGAATCACTGCTTTCACTGGTCTCTGTGTCACTCCCACTGCTTGAGTCTATCTTAGAGTCCGATGAAGCCCCCTCTGAAATTGAAGTCGGGCTTGTAGGCATGGCCAGTGGGGTCGACACTTCTAGAGGCGTTTTCTTTGATGATGGCCCGAAGTATGGTGCACCCTGAGTAGGTTCAGGAGGCTTAGGTGGGGCTATAACAGACTGGCTAGTAGTAGGAGGGCTTGGAGAATGTTTGTGTCTGCCAACAGCAGCCTCCTGAGTCTTAACCAAAGAGGGCGGGGGAGGAGGAGGAGTAGTAGAAGACGGTGGGGAAGGAGGAGGGAAAGAAGGCGGTGGGGAAGGAGGAGGGAAAGAAGGCGGTGGGGAAGGAGGAGGGAAAGAAGACAGTGGGGGAGGAGGAGGCGGCGGGGGAATGGATTGCGAAGATTGAGAAGCTGGCATACCAGAGCTACTACCTGAGGCCCCAGTAGGCAAGGATGGTGCAGAGCTCCCGGTGGTCTCTGGACTTCCATCGGGAAGTACGAAGTATGGTGCAAGATGTATCTCATCCATTCTACTACTAACAGTTTCATCGTCGGGGTTCCAGCCCCCTGCTTGTTTCTTCTTGCCTTTTAGTTTCTCAGGAACCTTTTTAATCTTCTTTTTGAGCATCTTCCTCTTCTTAGACCGGGAGGCCTTCTCGTCATCACTACTTTCCCCCTCCGATCGTTCCCGTTTGTGAGTGCTGCTGGAAGGTCCTTCGCCGGGGTCTGAGGTACTGCTGCCATCATCAGAACCTCCTCCAGAGGTCTCTGCTGCATCGCTTCCGGAGTTTAGAGACAAGGCAATGGTATGTTGTGCAGGGAACGAGATGGAACACAGGAGCGCTACGGTTGCCACCCAGCCGAGATAGATGTATGCAAAGCCCATCTCTCAGCAAATAAGACCAGAAAAATCAGAAGGAAAGCCTCTTTGACTCAAGAGGCAAGTAGAAGACCCCGGGACCAGAGGCGTAATTCGCGGTATCGAGGCATAGGCCCCCAAGATAAGGGGGATACAGCCTTTTCCCCCAAGTGGCGGCTTAAACAATGAAAGCATATATTCAGGGATTCAAAGATGGGCCAGGATATGCCTACATGGCTACCAGAAGCATTGAAACGTCTAAGCGTAAGATGCCACGGGAACCGGATCGCCCCAGCACAGACGTAAGGTGTCTGTGCCTAAACAAGCGACAACAGCACTGTGAATCTTTGCCTATCAAGGTAGCAGCCCAAACTTATTTTCTACCAAGAAAAAAGAACAAGAATGGGAGTGGACGCTCAACAGTGGTCGTAACAGGTCTCCTCGGGTGGCCCGGCCTGCTGTTGACGCCGGCATCAAAAGCCAGAAACGGCCAGGAGCTAATATAAGGCGGTTGTTTGCTCCCAGAAAAAGCATAAAGATTAACTGAATAGAGAAGATGGGCGGTCACTCTACTCTCGACCACAAGCCCGACGAGACCCTCAAAGGCGACACCGAAACAGACAAGCTAGCGCAACCTGTCCTGATCCCACAGGCGTGGTCACTTTTCTGTCATTGAATAGCTGCACTATTTATTTATAGCTCAGGTTCATGCGCGGAAATCACGTACCATTACCCCGATGACAGGGACTGCCGCAGTCATTGGCCCAAAGTTGTTCGGTCGAGGCCCAAGATGGTGTGGAGTAAGAACACGATTCTCAAACCTTTCTAAGCCATCGTCACCATCAAAACAAGGTTTTTATAGTTAAGGTGGCTTTGCTTCTTCTATGGAAGCTCACCATAGCGAAAACGAAGCTAACAAGGTCCTGGAGTGTCTTGCTGCAGGACCGGTAGCCCCCTACCAAATAATCCAGTCATCGAAGGTCCTTGAATATAAGGGAGTGACCATGTACTGAAATATGCGCAGTCTTTCTGTCACATTAGTTCCCTCAAGTGGACCCTCTAACAGGGCACTACGCACTCAGTAGACAGGCCCTATTACTGAGGAAAGTTCATCCCTCTGTAGATGCCCTTCATAAGACACTATAGAAAGTGCCCTTCCCCTCTCTGCCTGCACGGTAACACACTAAGATATATGCCACACAGCGTACACCGGAATCCACACCTCCCGGCGCTGCGGCAGATCGCCAATAAACTGAGCTGATCGATAAAGACCGAATCCGATACCTCTTAAAGTAAGCTAATAGTTAGTGACCTATCAACGGACGCGCATCGCGAAAAGCCTTTCTTAGGCTCCTACGACGCTGCAGAGAAGAACTGCAGGAAACACGATTGTCACGTATGCAAGGGAATGCCCCAAAATATTTACGGGGATTTCAACGGGTGTACGGGCCGAGCGTTAGTGAAAGAATGGCATTTAATATCGACAGAAGGCAGAGTGGGTTCGTTCGTTGCAGTATCACTGTGGACGTAGCACAGGGCCCGATGGCACATTAGTGGTTAAGAACTCCTGCCGTGACTCGACGCTGGATAAGCAGCGCATCATCTGTGACCTGGGGAAAAGGCGCAGCAGTGTAATCTGCCTGTTCACTCTTTAATGCAAACACTGGTACTCCGGTATGCTGACGAACGACAGAACGCAGGGGCTGGCAGGTCTGTGGTAGCTTAGTGCATTTTCGAATTGATGCGTTTCCCAGCATCATCCGTAGTTTCTATGTTGGAC